CTGGCCGCCTTATTGGCACATCTCTTGTGGCTAATTGCTCGCCGATGCGTATACTCAGATGTTTGAAAAGTACATCCCATCAGCAGTTGGCGGGGTACACACAGATGTTTTCGTTTGTTTTGTTCTTTTCAATTCATTTCTCGAGGGGCGTCTAAAATGAATGAGCGTCAAAGGACACTTTCTTTGCTTAAATTTTAATAGAAATGGCGCACCCCATATTTAAACTATCTTAATTTTGGGACTAAATGTCTTGTATTTTGATATTATTTTTTTTTTTTTTTCAAATTCCACGACCCATAGTTCATGTTTGCCGTTTAATTGGTGACCCGCGGCCTGTTGTTTTCCCAAATAACATTCGCTTTTGTAGAACCAGTTTGATGTTCATCGAAGTATTTCCACGATGTGAACTTCCTATTTCTTTCCTATAACATACATTAGTAGTTTTAAGTATGGCGACCACCAAAACATCCCATCCGGTTTTCGGGCCGCCCCCTCAGGTGGTGCTTGTGTTTGCTCAAGACAAAACACTTGTCTTCGGCTATATAATCTGTCACTTGGCTCTCTTCGGGGCAGTTCAGTTCCCTGAGCCCATTGTTCCACCATGGCCAAGTTCATCCTTGTCGTCCTCGCCATCGGCGCCTTCCAGGTGAGCAGAAGTAGTGTCGCCTCGGCCAGTGCAATCGGCCGGTGGTGGGCGCCGGAAATCAACCCGCTTGACATCCTTGTGTCGCAGGCTGCCAGCGCCGCACCCGAGCCCTCCATCCTAGGTGTGTCTCGAGGCTTCCTCGAGGCGGCGAGGACTAAGGTGGGCGCCGCTCAGGGTATCACCAACGCCGCCATCCAGGCCGGAAGTGACGGCGTCAACCTGGGCCTCGACGCCGTCCAGGTAAGTAGTGTTTGCTCTGGTCTGGTACGACATGAGGGTGAAGCACGCGCGGCTCGTGAACGGTCTGTCCTTACTCGTGCAGGGCGTGGAAGCTGTCAAGTCCAACGCCCTCCGCGGTGCCGTCAACATCACCAGAAATCTGGGCACTGAGGTCATCACCCAGACACGTAACCTCGCCAACCACCTGCCCTCTGCCCTTGGCATCCGCGGTGTTGCCAACCTCGGCCTCAACGGTGCCCAGGGCGCCCTGGACCTCGGCGCCAACGCTGCTACCGGCGTCTTCACTGGCGCTCAGGTGAGAGCACCACCTACTGAGTGAAGGCGGATTTCTTTGAACGAACCATCTTTATCCTGCCGCCTCTTCCGCGGCTCCGCAGGCACTCGTCAACGGCACCCTGGGCGCTGGCCGCAGCCTGAGCACCGGCGTGTCCGGCGCGGCTCAGGGTGGCGTCAACCTCGCTGGCAACGTCGTCGGAGGTGTGATTGGAGCCAAGGCCAACGCCATTGGCGCCGCCCAGAACGCCACCCGCTCCGCCACCCGCGCCGCCGCCAACGCCGCCGGCAGGGTCGCCAACACTCTCACCGGAGGCCTTGCGGGCCGCCTTACCAGCGGACTGACCGGTCGCAGTGGCGTCTCTGGAGGCGTCAGGCTGGGCTAGATCTAGACCGATACCCTTTTCCATCCTTTAGCCCTGTGCCCCGCCCGTGAAAATATAAGTTGTATCATCATTCGTAGTAATTATTTCAAAACCTACACATTATTTCAGAGCTGGAGGTGAAGAAGTAAAATGGAAGAACAAAACGCGCACTGCGCATGAACAGACGCCCCCCACTCCATCCCCTGCTTCCCCCACTCCGCGTCTGCGCATGAGCAGTGCGCGTTTAGTTCTTCCATTTTACTTCTTCACCTCCAGCTCTGAAATACCCTATTGTTTCCTGACAACTACATATAGTTCTAGTTATGAAACGATTTCTCGATCTTTGAATTATTGTTGAAACTGCAAGGAAAATCGTTTAAATTTCGAATCTTTATTTACCAGCATTTTGCAATGTAGCTTCGGGGAAAAAAGTTAAAAGGCGAGCGTGAGGAGCGTCTCGTGACATTTGGCATGCTGTTTCACGGCTCATTGCATTCGTTTAGGCTTATCGTGGTCGTCCTACACTATTAAAAAATATTTTGTGGTTCACCCAACACTTTCACGATATAAGGCAACACTTCTATGTAGTCAAAAATTTGGAAATAGTCGTGAACCAACCGTAATAATTTCTCAAGTTATCAATTTTTGACAACAAAGAAGAGTTGTGCGCAACATCATGATTTCACAAAGAGTTATGGCAACTTATTTCAACACGAATTCTTCGTGAAGTGCTGACTTTTTTTAACAGTGTACTACATTGTAAAAAAAATTATCGTGATTTTACGAAACATTCTCGGTTAACTTTCGAAACCATCGTGCTTAACAAATTACGATACATACGAATTGTAGTAT